CGGTGTGGGGTGCGGGGTAGGGGGTTTTTCTTTTTAAAAAAAAAAAAAACAAAAAAACATAGTAAAGCAAAAACAGATACTGTCTTTTGCCAAGAAACTGCTAGTCTCAGACAATAGCAGTAATAAGTTCATAAGTTCCTGTCTTCCTTCCAATGAATGTTTGTAACTTGATGTGTCAATGAACTGTTTCCAGCTTCATGTGTGGTCTCTCTAAAGTATTTGAGTCCTCTAGTTTCCTCCAGAGGAATGAAAGCTTCTGAGCAAAAAGGTCCTCCAAGTGGAACTTCAGAAAACTTTAGATTAATCAGAATGGGCATCCTTGGGCTAGAAGATAAGTAGAATTCTCTCCCTAACTGTCTTCCAATATGCTATTCTAAATCCAGGTATCTTTGAGATTTTTTTACAAATAAAAATGGCTCCAGCATTTCTCGTGCTGCCTTCCTTCTAGAGGTGCTAGCTGTTCTTGATAGCTGTAGTAAATAGGGAGTCCAAATTTCGGTCAGTAGTGTGCTTTGGTATCAAAGGCAACTAATAGTATTTGGATACATACTGCATCTTGAGGACTGCGCAAGCACTATGATTGCAAAATAAATATATAAATATTTTAAAACTTGTCATCACTGAAGCTCTTAATCTCAGTTGGTGCAACATCAGGCTGAAGAACCTTAGCGCTAGGATCTATCTATATTACTAAACAGTGTCAAGCTGGAGGCTGGGGCTTCTAGACACGTACTTTTATTGCAGCTAGTATGCTACCTGAGGATGGCTTGTGAGGATGGCTTTCCACAGGCACATCACTCTGTTCTTGTGACTGGATGTGTGAAGCAACAACCTGAACTCTGCTTATTTTCATACTTGTACAAATATAAGTACAGTTAATTGGAATTTCCAGTTCTACCTTCTGAGGAATTGCTGCACATCACAGAAACTTCAAAGATGAACTCAGCCCAATCAACTGGTAGTTATTTGATATTTATCGTAGTGTGCTTCTGGTTTTAAACACACAGCCTCATTAGTAAACAGTCATACAGGTCAGGATGTGCAGTGGCATTGCTATGAAAACTGTATTGCTTATCCCGGAGACGACTCCATGAAAATAAGGCCTCCTTCCCCTTTTATTGACCAGTGTCCTTGTAACTCCCAGTCTATTTTTTTTCAAAGCTTATTTTCCACCTCCACTGTGGTAAGCTTTTTCTCTCCTATATAATACAATGGCAGAAGGCTTCTATTTATTAAAAAAAAAAAAAACAAAAAAAAGCACTTCCCACACTAGTTCGTATTAAACCAGTGCAGTATCCTTGTATTTGAATTTTGGCTCCTGGCAATTCTGAGGCTTTTAAATCTAGGAAAAGGTTAAAAGGAGAGACTGCTGCTAGTCAGTCTCTCAATGTGTTGCTGCGATGGCTTACCTCCTCTGCTTTCCAAGCCATGTTGAAAGAGAAACTTGATCTATTCATGTGCCTTTTATACCAATACTTGGGAAAGGATTCAAGGGAAAGAACTTTCCCTCAGCACCACATTTGCTTGTCCTCACACGGAACTTAGTGCTTCAGCCCTCACGTAGAATATAAATATTACGTTTGTGTTATTTAGAAGAGAAAATAAGGGAAGGTATCCTGTGGTTTACAATGTCCTCCTAAAGCTACTAATGACTTGATGCTTTCAGGAATGTCTTCTCCCCTCCTGCAAAAAGTTGATGTGGTCTCTGAAGTATCCCAGGAAACTTGTGAGGCCCTGGCTGACTGCCTCAACCTATTCACAAAGCAGGAAGGGGTATGTATTTCGTTGTGTGGGATTCTACAGGGTCTGCATAACTTAGGATGTTTTGCTCGCTCCCTGCTGAGCTGCTATAAACAAATGCACCTATAGAGCTACATATTGTTAGCAAGCTGTCCTTTAACGTGCTCAGCGTCTAGTGAAAACTCGCACCTCTAAAGAGAAAGTAGCTAAGTCCTTAACAAAGGGTGTTTTAGTACTGAGCATTCAGAATAGACACAGATCTTGCTTATAAATGACTGTTTAAAATGTTCAGACTGAATGCTTGAATTCAATCAAATGGTTGCTTTGCTAATCTGAAGGTTACTGTATTGAGGAAAATCCATCTCCTTTTTAGACTGTGAGGTGCTGAACAGTATTGCTTCTGAGTTTGTTTTTCAGACCATGTGCTTAGTGGGTGTATGAATGGTATCTGTTGGCCTTCTGGCTTTTCTAGTGATATATCTTGTATGATGTTGAATATAGTTCAGACGCTTCAGTTTGGGAATGAGTGGTATGCTCGTTAGTTCTAGGGGTAGGAGAATTTTTTTTTTTCCTTCTCCTTCTAGAAGATACCTTAATTCCATGGAATAAATGCGTCTTCCTGAATTGTGATAACAGTAATTCTTCAGTTTGGCTCTTGTTATCATCAGCAAGCTGTATTTCAAAATGAGGTTGTGTTGGTGCTGTTAGGTCTCTTCCAGTTATTTAACAATGAGGTCCGTTGTTTAAGCTTGCTTTACAATTTTTTTCATTCTTTTCCAAAGCATTTTCTCTCCAGTCACAAGTCTTCTAGACTTACTTGAGTCATGTTCTAGCAGAGTGGAACAAGCATTGCTTTTTACATTGGGTTTTTGCTTTCTGTTTTTAAAAAAAAGAAAAAGAAAAAAAATCTAATATTAAAGTTGCCAGCTCCATTTGTGGATGAGGGGGAAATTGTTACAATAGTGGGTGTATGGTGTTAGTTAGTATTCCTTAATTGTGTTGGCATCTTGCTTCATGCAAGACTAAAATACCCTTCCAAAGTGGAGCATGGCAAAACATATGGTGAAATTGTAATTTCACCTTACTTGAACTTGAATGGTATCAGTAGGTGTTAGAGCCCTTCTTTCAATCTGGAAGCACACAGATTTGGCCACCGAGGGACAAGCTGAGTTATAAACTTGAATTTCTGCCATAGCTAGTAAAAACAGTCCCTCGTGACAGAGGGGAAAGATGTGATCATAGCGTTTTGTGTTTTGGTATTTTTAAACTTCAAAGTATTGTAATTTCAGAGTATAATGGAGGTTTTTAAAGACACCACAAACTTGTAAGGGAAAGGAATTGCAGCTGAGATGTCTCTCTAAGACTTGAATCTCTGAAAAAAGTTATATTCCCTGAGCATTACTGTTCTTAAATCCTCAGCATTTTTTTGTTGCCTTTTATAAGACAGAGCACTGCTCTTCACTGTCTGGTGTTGATTTGCAGGCAGCAGTTCTGTTGGCTTTGCCAAAGCAATATATTGGATTCTGCATTAGTGAATGCAGGCAAATGCTTTAATGTTTCTTCTAAGTATGTTGAATAGTAAAGCATGACTCTGCTGAAGTGATCAAACTCTAATGTGAAAACACTAACCCAAATAACTCTTTAAAAAAAAAAATCCTTTGCATTTATTTTTCTTCTGATCATGATCTCCCTAATGACATTTAATGCTTATGTGTTTTAAGTGCTCCACGGTTTTAAGTTAACTGCAGCTGATTCTTGCTAGGTCAGAAGATGGGAGGTAGCTGTTTCCAACCTAGCTTCAGGAAGGATAACTCTACAGCTGCTTAAAAACTTCTTTCGCACCTATCCTGCTCTTTGCAGGCCTCTTTTCTTCACCTGTTGGGCTGCTTCATCGCTGCTCCAGGTCCTGGGCTCTGCTGCTTGTCTTAGGGGGCTGCCTGGTGGGATTTCCTCCTTGAGCCCCAGCGTAGAGATGACTTGCTTGCTCCACAGTATCCTTCAACCGCACTGTGCGTGTCCCACGAAATCTGGTTCTCCTCCTAAAACGAGCGTGTTCTCGGGCTCCACACCGTTTTATCTGGCCTCTTTAAGTCGAAATCTTTTTCCTGCTCTAGCTTAAATTGTCAGCATACCAAAGGCGGCTGCTTGACTGATGAGGCGGCTGCTGGTAAACACGGTGAACACTTTTTTTTTTTCCTTCTTCTTCTTCTTTTCTTTTTTTTTTTTTTTCTTTTGGCTTGTAGCTGACTTCTTGCTTAGGACGGCCCATCTCCGCTGCGTGAAAATTGCAGCATAAAAATTACGCCCCGCGCGAACGCAACCGCTCAAAATCGGGCTT